CTCTGATCTAGCCCTCAGTATTTGCTGCCACAGGGATTAAAATGTTTGACAGGTGAGGCAAAGCTTTTATAAAAGCCTTCCAGAGTCAGTGCCTTAGCAAATGGAATACTTATTCCATAATTCAAGGACCCTTATATCTAATTACTAAGGTTGATTGTTCACTTTCATACAGAAAAAAGGTCTGTTCAGTGGACCTAAATGGTAAGAGTTCATCCTTTTAAACATACAAGATTGATTTAACCTAAAATACAATTGGGTGTTATGAGATAAATGATTAAATAATTCTAATATTTAACTATTTGCTTCATGTATGTCTGTAAACCTTAGTAAACCATACAAAGTTCATACTCTTGGCAAGCAAGTTGGGCAGTAGGGGAAAAATAACATTGCTCTCATTAGTGCGCCTTTTAAATGAATGGATGGGGACTTGGAGCTGAAGGAGAGGAAGCCCATGCACTGCTATGTGGGTGGACAGGCTTTACACACAGCGCCCTAACCCCAGATCAGTGTTTCTCAAATTTTCATATTGAACCAAGCCTTTTTAACAGAGAAGGGATTTTAGATATATATGTAGATTCTTTGTGTTGATACAAGTCACCTTTAGTATAGCATTTTTATTATTATGCTCTATTATAGCATCTTTATTATTTATCATAGATTATAAATTATATCTTTGTTATAGCATGACAAATACTTGTAATTATAAAACCACATGTCAATTACTTACCATATAAAACTGATTAATGGCTTATAAATCTTGTACAAGTATGAAAGCTAAATGAGTAAAGTAAAAATTTACAAACTAAAATCAAATTCTAATGAGCATATTTACGCACTACTCTTCCCTGATTTAATTCTCATCTTTTTTTTTTCAATTTTCTAGAACAATGTAAAGAAATCACTCATTTGGGGGCAGCTCGTCCTATACTACCAAAGCACAAAGGTAAGTGTACATACTCAGTTGCTATATCCAATATAAAAAAACAGATCCCCAAAGGGAGAATAATCAAAATGTATAAAATATCAGTCAATACAGAAAATACAGTAGGCCCCTGGGACTAAACAGTTAATCATCTGACTATATTTCTATTCAGAAAATGTGCATTTGTCAAACAGATACGGGGACCATTGTGAATCAGATGCGTGACAGACGGACAGCATGACCACCCATTAGCTATGACAATGGACACAATCAGCTGACTTGGAAGAAAAGGTCAGCCAAAACCATGAGTCTTGTACATTCACCACTGAACTCTAGGAAAACATAGTCAAGTTGTTCATCTAGGCTCTTAAGAATATTGAGATAACAGCTCCCAGTGTGAAGTTACTAAGACCGCAGATGAAAATGACTGTTCATCATCAGTGGAGGCTTCACATCTCATTGAGAGCCCACGCGGGAACACGATCTCCGAATCACAGTCTCCTACACCAAGTGATGGAACGCCACACAATGACTCAGCCATCAACACTGCAGACGGTTCCAGCAGCAGAAGAGGGCGTCCAGGGCGTACGTCAGTCAGTATGTTAGACTCCAGTGCATGTTCTTCTTTAAGAACAAAGTCAGATTTAGCTCTTTGTGAAACGTTTCAAATGTGATATTACAGAAGGAAAGGAAGCGCTGCATTGAACTGATACACAGAACTGTTGTTTTCCAGTCTTTGCATGAAGGCAGGTGATACCAGGAATTTAACTATTTCTAACACTGTCCAGGGCTAATTTCCGGTATTTAAAGGCTGCCTCGATGTATACCTAATCAACAAGTAGAGAACAGTGCAGATCTCTTACATAAGGGTTGCGGAAGAGGAGGGAAACCAGGGAGGAAAGACTTCTTCACAGTCAAAGCTGAATCAAGTCTAAACATGTTTACCTGCCCGCTTTCTAAGGGCTCCTAGAAAACGATCGCTCCCTACCCATCCCCAATTTTATTATTCCAGGTTATATATTAGTAGCTTTAAGGAAGCTACTTTTTTATTTTTCTTAAGTATGCACAGCTCAATTGTTGTGCGTGGAGCCAGCTAACTCTGGCTCACAAGAGCCGACTGTGTGCATCTCTCCACATCTTTACCTTCATTAACATCACACTGGTGGCTAAAATTGATGATGGAGTATTTACACCACAGAAGGCAGCAAACTACAAATCAGGGCCTTCCTCCTTCCACCCCACACTGCCCCGCTCCCCAATGAGCAGGCTGTCCAACACTTACCAACACACCACTACACCGCAGTAGTGTTGTGTACTCACTCAAATATTTATTGTGCTGTGGGTCACACAATTTGCCAAAAACAGGGAACAAAACGGTGACCCAAAACACACAGTCCTTGTTCTCATAGATCTTAACAGTCTATGTAGCTGCCATGCCCCTTTCTTACCCTATTCCTTACTTCCACTTACATATGCCCTACTCATTCTTTAAGCCATCTCAATCTTATATGACACTAATGTCTCCCTTTGCTAAACTTTTATTGCATTTATCGAAGTAATAAATTTAGCAAATAATAATCTAAATTATTTCTCATGTCTCATCTTCTTAGCTATATTTCAGGCCACCTCAAAGCAGACGAGTTTCATACTTTTTTGCAAGGTTTGCTTAGCATGATGCACATTATGGGCGGCAGGAGTTAGAAGACTGGAGAACATTTAAAATTTTGGAATTGATTGACGGGAATGCTTTTTGTTTAACATTTAAATAGCATGGTGTGGCTCATGCATTTTCCACAGGATCCTCCCTAATATTTGCAGGGCTAGGAAAAGGGGTATAAATGGAGACTCCCAGGCTGGCTCTCCCCTTCTCTTCCCACCCTCTGACTCTATCCTGCAACAGTGAGGGGCCCCTTGGATGAGTGCGGTAGGGTGACCAACCTTCCCATTTTGCCTGGGACTGAGGGGTTTTGGAGCATGCAGGACTTCAATGTTAGAACTGGTACAGGCCCAGGCAAACCATGATTGGTCACCCTCTGGATGAAGGAAGGAGGATGACACAAGCAGGCTCTGATAGCATACAACATCTGCTGGTCAGAGAAATCTAGGGTTTTGGAAACCCAAAGCATGGCCTAGACAGGTGGGGTGAGTGCGTGATGGCACAGGAACTCTGGCTGGGTAGCTTCCTTCTACCCTCTAGACTCCTCTCCCCCAGAACTATGACATATTCGAGCATGTAGTAGTAGAAAAAGACATAAACATGTTTATAAAGTGAAAGATATTAAAAACATGTTCAAGTTATCCTCATTTCTTTTCTTCAATGTTGCAAAGCCTTCCCTCCTGATCTCCCTGCATCCATTTTTTGGCCCCTTCCAGTCTACTGACTATTAGACGTAACAAGAGTGATAAAACCTGTGTAAAGCTCTTCAATGGTCTCAAAGAAAAGAGCAGGATCCCTAACTTGGCAAAATGGGCCTGTGTAATATGCAAGCCCCCCTACACACACACATACACGCTGGACATGCATTATGCCACTCAGCCCTCTCTCACAGTCACACTGGCCTTACGTTAGTTCCTGAAATGGTCCATGTTCTTGCCTGCTTCAAAGCCTTTGCAGATGCCGGGCCCCATGTGCCATGTCACCACGTGAAATCTCTTTCCTGACAAAGTCTTCCCTGTCCATTCCTCAGTCTAGATCAGGGACTCATCCCAGGCTCTCAGGACTCACTTTGCTTTTCCTGTTTGGCACACTTTGTACTTTGTAACATGATGACATATTATTTGAGTAGCACCTAAGTCCTCTTCTAGACTTGTAAGCTCAGTGAGGACAACACCTTACCTGCTGCGTTATCTCCATCCTCAGACTTACATAGTTAATAGGAACTACTTGAGGAAAAAGGAAGGCAGAAATGAAGCAAGGAGGGGGAAGCAAGCAAGCTTCTATGTAATGTGGGAAAGGTCTCTACACTGGGCCTTTTAATATTTCTGCCCTAATATGGGTATTTTGTAAAACCCCCCTGACTTTAACGGCAGGAGTTATTTTGTCACATCTTATTTTTTCCCTGTTAAAGAGAGCATATTTGCAGACTATATTCACATTGGAAGGATTTTGTTCTGTGATGTCATGGATTTGTCAAATAGGACGAAGGAATCAAAAAAGCTAGAAAATTCCAAGTATGGATTACAGACTATTTGCAATTCTCTTCCTTTCCTTTTCCTCCTCCTCTACACTCTGATCCTGATCATACTTTTACAAAATCGATTATCAGAAAAAAAACTATTAAACTCATTTTCAGTAAGGTATGAAACATTAATAATACATAAATAGTTACTCTTCCCTACAGTTCCCAGCAGCTGTAACGTCTGAAAAGGCAAATAGCCTTAAGCTAAAAAATTCAGTTAGTACTTCAATTCTGTGGATGCCACACTGAGAATAAAATGATTCCATACGGCCAAATAAAACCGCCCAAGTTGCATGTTTCCAAAGCAGTTATCAAGCCGTATGCACAACAGACAACGTCTCTCTGTCCCTGTCTGCATGCGACGTCCACTCTCAAGTCCTCCCGAGCCTTCTCAGAGCGCGGGCGCCAGGACACCGCTGCCCAGGGCAGTGCCCACACGCCCCGGGACAGCGCAACCCATCTGCAAACGCACACTCTCGGAGACACGAGCTCTGGAACACGGATTCTTTAGACAAACCAGGCACAAAGTATACTGAATAGCCGGAGAGCCCTTCCTCACTTGATCTCTATGAAAATACGTCTTTTACACTTAAGACACAGCCCGGAGCAAGCGTTCTACGCCCTCACGAATAAAGCAGCATCTCGCGCCCTCGTGGCCACGCCCAACTCGTTACCCGGCAGCCCACGGGCGAACGTACCCAGGCGCCTCTCCGCACTACGCATGCGCCAAGTCGGGCCCGGCGGGCGTAGGCTGTCGCCGCATCTGTGGCGAGGCCTTCGGGAAAGAGCGTCCTCACGTCCTCGCCGGGACTCTATGGTTCCCGCGCGGGACGATGGACAGTCTATATAAGGCGCGTGCGCAGAGGTCGAGCGCCTTTTTCTCGTCGACGTGGCCCGGTACGTGTTGTCGCCATGGGCCGCCGCCCCGCCCGCTGTTACCGCTACTGTGAGAACAAGCCGTACCCAAAGTCCCGCTTCTGCCGCGGTGTCCCCAATGCCAAGATCCGCGTCTTCGACCTGGGCCGGAAGAAGGCCAGAGTGGACGAGTTCCCGCTCTGTGGCCACATGGTGTCCGACGAGCACGAGCAGCTGTCCTCCGAGGCGCTGGAGGCGGCGCGCGTCTGTGCCCACAAGTACCTGGCGAGGCGCCGCGGGCGCGACGCTGTCACCTCCGCGTGCGCCTCCACCCCCTCCACGTCCTGCGCGTCCACGAGATGATGTCCTGTGCCCGCGCCGGCCGGCTCCAGACCGGCATGCGGGGCGCCTGCGGGACGCCCCAGGGCACGGCGGCCCGAGTCCGCGCCGGCCAGGTCGTCATGTCCGTCCTCACCAAGCTCCCGAACAGGGAGCACGTGGTCGAAGCCTGACGCAGGGCCAAGTTCAAGTTCCCCGGCCGCCAGAGGATCCACATCTCCAAGAAGTGGGGCTTTACCGAGTTTAATGCCGGAGAATTGGACGACAGGGGGGCCGAGAAGCGCCTCATCCCGGATGGTTGTGGAGTCAAATACGTCCCCAGTCAAGGCCCCCATTCAACCTATTGAATGAAAGCAGCAAAGGGAGTACTAAATAGTATAGAAACACATGCTTTTTAAATTATTTGCATTTACTTAAAAAAATTCCTTTGTCAATCCTAAAATTTTGCGTCTGACTTCATATTTCTTTCAGGCTCTTAGTAGAAGATATTTCCTACTTGTGTATTTTAAGCTAGGTTGCTGTTTTAAGCTATATTTTTCATATATATAATATATATATAAACAAGAAATATAACAAGTATTAAATAATATGCATGTATAGGAAGGGCTCTTCAGCCTAAGAAGCACTTTCCTTGATATGTTTTACTTGATGCTTTAAAACTCCTACAGTTTGCTAGGAAATTCAGTCCCATGTAATACATAAATGAGGGTAGACTGGAGCCAGATCTTCTGTCCAGTTCTGTTTGTTTTGTATCATGCTGTCTTTCAAAAACAAAAACTCAACCTCACAGAAATCAAAATGCACAACAAAACACAACAAAACAAACAGTTCCTTAGTTATGTGTTAATACAGCTGTGATGCAGCTTTGAAAATATTTTCTGTCTTCATTATTCACCCTGCTCCTTGGTCTCAAACTTCTCAAACATACTGACCTTCAAACTTGGAAGTCTGTGCTCACTCTCTAGATACAGGGAGGCAGGGTAAGCCCATGGATGTCTTTGCCCTAAGAGACTGGTAACTATGATTGTTTATGCATAGATATGTGGATGAAAAGGAAATGAAAGATTAAAAATTATTGCATTAAAGAACTGGTAGGTAGGTGTCATTAAGGTTTATTTGACTTTTTCCTGCAGTTTTCTGTTATAAACTTACATATATAAATTTTATTTCCTTTAATGTTGATAGAAGGACACTTTCACTTACTAGTTTGTCTTAACAAAAATCCTATTAACTTATGTTCTCCAGGCCATGATATTGGTTTTTCAGCATTTTCCTATTTTATGGTCTTTCTAGTTATTAAAAAATTGGTAAAACAGTTGAGTTGAAAGATAATTTAATTATATTTTTGCAGAGCTCTTCATTATTTCTAAATTTCTATTTAAAAGGAAAATTTAATTTGGGTACATAGTATGTATTCATATATGTATGCACTACTGCAATGAAACAGAACTGTCTGCTTATTTAAAATATAAAAAAAATACAAGTACAGTTAACTAAATTCAAGCAAATATTGCCCTGTAAAAGTCTTTGATTTAGTTGATGGAGTCTCCAGGTTTTATGGAAAATACTGACTGATTATCAGTAAGAAGATGAAAACTTCAATTGGGCCATGCACTGTATCAATTTAGTTTTGAAAGCACCTTCCACAAATGATTGTTATATAATCCACCATTTCTCCCTCCCTCAAAATGTGGAATTAGACTAAGCATATTTAGCCTGAAATCCCTAACTTTTATAAAAATATACACCAGCTCTGGCATGAATTGGCTGTCACTACCACTGGCACGCGTTTTATTTCCACTTGAGCAGCTTTGTACTGCCTACACTGATGTAATTCAAGCAGGGCTTCCTGGTGCTTTGAGTGTCATTATTGACTAAGGATTGAGCTGAGAAATCATTTAGCCCCAATCATCTTCTGCTTTTATATTGACATAGCTATCTTTTTTTTAGAGTAATGACTTCATTGTTTTCATCAAAATACCTACATGTTCTTTTAAGTAATTAATGTAGAAAATAATGAGTAAAGTCAAAAGTGAATAAAATTACACCATCAAAAATAATCCAGTGAGTCCTTGTCATGCTTAGGAGTGGATGAGAAGGCATTAGGGGGCCGGGATTTGCATCTCAATTTCTTCACTTACTTGGACAAATTACTTAGTACATATCACCAGTCCTTAATTTTCTCAACTATAAAATGGGCTAAGAGACTGATTATAAGGTTGTTTTTAGGATTAAATGAGATAATTCATCAAGAAAATGAATAGGATTGTGCCTTGCATATATTAAGTACGCAAAACTAGTTAACTTATAACAGTTAATATCAATGTTGTTATTACATTTGCTCCTGCCTCACTGCTTCTCTGCTTCTAATTTTTGTTGCTTGTAGTGTTATTTTTTCATGATTTAAAATCTTAATATTGTTTTGCAACCATAATTCCCTCCAGTCGTGTAATCTGAGTTCTAGATTTAATTGGATTCGATATTCTTATTTGAGTTTTTGTTGTTTTTTATCTTTAGTTTCGTAATTGTCACTTTCAGAATTTTTTATTTTCAAAATTATTCCATTTCCTTTGTCATCTGCTTTTGGAACTTCTTTTGAAAAATGTAATTGTGCTTTACCAATTATCCCCTACATATGACTCACTGATGGAGATTTGCTTTATTTCCTTTTTTCCCCCCAAATTGGATTTTTTATCTTACCCACTTTTTTCATTCATATTTATCTCTTCTTTTCTTCTTCTTTTTCTGATTTTTTCCCAAAGGAATGATTATATGGCTGTCACACCATTATATTCATACTGCTTGTGTGTGATGTAGACTGTTCCACCCAGATCTCCTCTTTAATCTGAAAGATGATAGGTGAACTTCTCGAGTTATCCTTTTACAGAGTTTTTGTTGTTTTTTGATCATTTAGTCTTCTCTCTGAGTGCCATAGTTTGAGGGCTGGATGTTGCTTTCTAACTCCTTTTCCATGCCCTCAGGACTAGAGGATGGGGAAGAGAGAGAACCCCGAAGGGTTAACTATCGCCTTTGATGGATGCTGGATTCTCAGTTCGCTTCTGAGATCCCATTAAATACGCAATGCCAGGGCCCTCTCAGGCATGTGTACAGTCCACTCTTCCAGCTGTGGTGTGTTTCTTATTCTTGCCCCACTGCTCTTCAGGGCCATTCTGGAAAATGCCAAGCCCAGTTGCTGAGGATCTTGGGTGTTGGAGGGGCTCTACCCCTCAGTGGATTTTCTTAGTTTTCCCTTGTGTAACTACTTCTGTGTTCAGTGCATTTCTCTCCATATTAGGGCATTAGTGAGACAGTTTTAAATCTCATGTTTTTTCAGGAATACTTCTAAGAGTTTGGAGAGTTATGAAGAGGTACATTTCATAACTGAATGTTATATAACCCACTATTTCTGCCCACTCCTCAAAATATGGAATTATACTAAAACTATTTAGCCAGAAATCTTTAATTAAAAAAAAAACAAAACAGCTCTGAGATATCACACGAGAATACTGTCTTCATTTTATGTCCTCTTCTTTCCTAAGTTTATGACATGCATTTGACATGACCTTTTCCTTGGTGGCTTTTGGCTGTATTTCTTTTACCATATTATTCATTTCATTAAGTATTAGAGAAGGAGATTCTTTGATCCTATTTTACTTCAGTTTTTTCACCCAGGGGTCCTCTTAATGTCATACTAAGAAATTGTCTACCTCTGGAAATTTTAACTTTAAAACAATTCGTGTAAAAAATATGCTTCCACATGTTTGTAACAAATTCTAGTTATCTTTTATTGGTATGGATCTCAAATAATTATTACTAAAATTTCCATGACTATCAAAATGAAGAATTTTTAATATAAATTCTAAAAATATCAATTTTGTGTTTGTACCTATACAGAATCTTAACTTTTATTATGTTAAAAATAATCAATTCATTCTGCGTATTTAATTATATAAGTTAAGCAGGTTTCTGAGAGCTACTGATCAAGAGATATTTTTGTGCTCCAAATATTTAAAGATAGGACCATATTTACATTAGAAACTATTGTATTTTGAGAATTATATTATTAAACTCTTCAGGGCTCCTGTTCATGAAACTCCCTGTTGTCCCAAGTTGACTGGTTACTGATAAAAATATAAGAGTTTGTGGAGGAGGATGGCATCTTTTGGGCAAATGCAGAGTTCTTAAAAGAGCAGCTATTCCTCCCCCTCTCTGGGTGGGTGGAGGGGGACAGGACATCAGATTGTTAGGAAATGGTGATTTTCTTTTGCCTGAATGTTGTGAATTGTTGAACAACAACAACAACAAAAAGATGGTGCTAGTAGTGGGGACGGGAGAGAGACGGCAGAACTGATAGAGAGTGTCAGGGGACAGCCCTCATCCCAGTCTCTGGCACTTTAGGGATAAGACTTAAATTTCCCACCGTGTGAGGCCATTGGTGCCTTAAGTTTAGGCAACATTGCTGATGCTATGCCCCCTTTCTCAAGGGTGTTGCTTTTGGGAGGGAACCATAGCAGCAAGAGGCTGTCTGGGGAACCTCCTCCATGGTGGCAGCTGAAGGCAGGGAAAGAGCGAGCCATGCCTTAGCCAGATTTCCTTTGAGGGGACTGAATAGGGAGAGGAACTCCAGAACCTTCTAAAGAACCTACAAAAAGACAGCATTAGAGTCAGCATTTGGACACCTGGAGACAGTCAGCATTATCAAGAGAACCAGCAACAAGTGAAAGGGAACCTGTCTCCTGTGACTTGGAGTCATTTAACACAGAGGGTATTGTCTGTGCTCATGTTCTGTTGTTGGTCATCTATATCCAGGGATGAGGGAGGAAAAGAGGGGAATAAGAGGTGATTTCCTCTTCCTGCTCTAGGAAGCTGAAACTACGAGTCTAGGCTGCACTACTAGAACAGACAGGAGGTGTGAAAAGGATGGGTGAAAATTTTAGTAATTGAAAGTGATTAAAACGTTATGGATGAGGCTTACCTATCATTGAGGAAACGTGCCACTGAAAAAGCAATACAGTTTCAATGGAGCACAGTTGGTAGATTTTCTGGGAAAATAAAAATTTCACGTTCACATCATTCTCCTGTCAAACCAGTTACATAACCATTTTGATGAAAAAATTCCGCAAACAGTGCCAGTAAATGCTGAATTACCAAAACTTAGAAGACGTGGAAGTTTCACCAGACTAAAGTAAAACCACATTCAGCATAAAGAAATTTCTATGCCACTTCCAAAAAACTTCTTTGCCACCTAACTGTGGTCCCTCTACCTCTCTGCACCATTTAAGCACCTTAAATATGAGCATATTTAAAATCTTATCACCGAAACCCATGTTCATGTGACTCCAGTCAA